ACTCTATCTAAAAATTAATGGGAAAATATCCTTGGGTGAGGATTGACAAAAAAAAAAAAAAAAAAAAGAATACACTGTGATATCACACACAACCACCTTACAGTAACCGCATTGGTGACTTCTGTAAACTATGTAGTCCAGAGGCCCTCAATGTGTGCGTGGTATGAAGGTAGCAGCAGGGGGGTTAAGAGCATGAACCTGGGTTTGATTCCTGGCTCCATCACTTATTAATTGTGTGACCTTGAGTAAATTACTTAACTTCTTATGCCTTAGTTTCCTGAGTTATAAAGTATTGTGATTAATAATATCACCTACCTGTTATGAGGCTTAAATGGTATATTGCCAGTATCACACCTCAAACAGTACCTGGCACTTAGTAACCATCATTATTATTACAGTAAGTGCTAAAATAAAAGTATACACATGATGTAATAGTACAGAGGAAGGGCACTTAGACCAACTAAGGGCCTGAGGGAAATTTTCCTTGAAAGAGGACACTTGTGCTGGGTCTAAATCTTAGTTTACTACTTAACCTGTTAGTCTAACCTTGGCCAAATTACTTTAACTTCGTATCCTCACCTACTAAAACAGAGATATGTCAGTTGTTAATATAATAAGCTGATGTTTATGAAATTAATGAGATAATTGTGGAGGAAAGGCTGTTCCATGACGTGACTGCTGTTTGTCCCATAAGCTGGATTGGTACCAGAACAGAACTGCTTTCTGCAAACACCTCTTAAAGACTGATCATTATTCTGAAACAGATCAACACCCCTCCTTGCCTCCTGCTATATGCTGGTTCCTGGAACAGGTTGTTGTCCTGACCTGGTCAAGCATGTAATTTCCTATATCTGATAGCATTCAGGTACCAGTGACAATCCCTTGCTTTACCCTATATAATTATTTGACACCCGGCAAGTGCTGCAGGGATCCATTTTGTCTTGCGGCCTCCCAAGACATTCCATGTATGTAAGCTTCCCTCAATAAACTCTATTAATTACCAGACTGGAGTGGCCAGCCTCTTTTTTCAGTCATTCCCTATCCTTTGCTTACGGAGATAGATTTTCAGTATTTGGACTTTTCCCTAGGTCTGTGTGTACTAACAATAATATATAAGGATTAGATGAGCAAATGTAACTGAGCATGGTATGTATAACAAATAAATATTTCCTCTTGGATCTGGTGGGAAAGTAAATAAATTACTCTTACATTCAATTTTTTACATGTCCTTTTTTTCCCAATTAAACAACGTCCTTAGTTTAGAAGTAGTTGTACATAAATATTCATTCAGATCACAACAAAACTACTTAGAAGGAATGTTAAATGATCAGTATTGGCCTAGCACAATCCCCATTTGTTTTGGTTTTTATCATCAGGGAAATGCGTTGGTGTAGTCATGTCCATTTTTGAGGCTCATTGTATCTACCTGAGTCAGTAAATATAATACCTTGATACCTATTATGCAAAACTGATCATTCCCTCATCTGTATACCTTTATATATTTTTCATTTCACGTCACACAGAATTTTAATATAGCATGTAGTATTTTGTTATAGTTCAATGAATTTAAAAAGAACTATGGCAATTTGTTACATCCTTATATTTTTATCCCCCTTCCAAAACAGAGAGTTTCTTGAATAACTGTGTCATATTCATATACTACTCTCACTGTTTCGTGAAATGACCTGAGTAGGATTTGAAATGCACTGTTCTAAGCAGTTGAAGGGATTATATAGGAATTTATGTAAAAATCACAGACTCAGTCTGATTCTCTCCTTTTATTGATGAGAAAACCAAAGTCTGGAGTGGTTAGTGATTTGTTGGAAGTTATCTAGCTAGACTCTGAAACTCTTATTGACCAGACCAGAGGCCAATCCACCATATCAACCTGCCTTTTGGACCCCAGTAACGTGGAATCTCTACCACCTCACCAAAGCTGCTATTGTTAGCCATTACTTTTGTGTTACTAAATCCAGTCATTGCTATTCAGCCCTTGAAATACTTGACCTATTTGCGGTCTCTGACTCTTCTGACACCCTCTCCACCTTGCAATTCTTTCCTACCTTTCCTTCAGAGGCATCCCCATCTAGTTATTTTCTCTCTTTGGCCATTCTACCAGACTTCTTTTGCGCTTCTGTTCATCTGCCACTCCTTTTTTTTTTTTTAAATCCTCACCCGAGGATATTTTTCCATTACTTTTCAGATAGAGTGGGAGGGAGGAAGAGAAACATCAACGCGAGAGAGACATATTGACTGGGTTGCTTTCCGCACAATCCCAACCAGGGCCAGAGACGAACTGCAACCGAGGTTCATGCCCTTGACAGGAATCAAACCCGCAACTTATTGGTCCGCGGGCCGATGCTCTAACCACTAAGCCAAACCAGCCAAGGCTGCCACTCCTATTTATTTATTTATTTATTTATTTATTTATTTATTTGATTGATTGATTTTAGAGAGAAAGGAAGGGAGAGGGAGAAATAGAAACATCAATGAGAGAGAACATCGACTGGTCGCCTCCAGCATGCCCCCCAGTGGGGATCGGCCAACAACCTGGACGTGTGCCCTGACCGAGAATCGAATGGGTGACCTCTTGGTGCATGGGTCGACACTCAACCTCTGAGCCACACCAGCTGAGTCCTGCCACCCCTTTTTAAAGTGAGTGCTTCCTGGGCTCTATCCTTGGTCCTCTTTATTGTTTCTTCTGTATTTTCTCCCTGATTGACCTCATCTATGCCCAGGGCTTACATTATCAATTGTAAATTAATGTCTCTCAAATCTATTTTAACTCAATGTCTCTCTTCAGTCACAGACCTGTGTAATTCTACTGTTTATTGAATATTTCCCTCTGGGTGTGGAGGTTTCCCCCATCAAGGCACAGTTCCACTGCCGTAATCTTTGAGGGAACCTAATTAATTCCACCCTTCTTTTCCAAATAAAGAACGCAGCCAGAGACCAGCTATCATCTTCAATACTGATTACAGTCTCCTATTGTAACAAAAATTAACACAAGTTTAGTGGCTTAAAACAAATATATTATCTTACAGTTCCGGAGATCAGTACTCCTAAAATCAAGGCATTGGCAGGGCTGTGTTCTTTCTGGGGGCCCTAAGGGGAAATTGTTTCCTTGCCTTTTCTGGCTCCTAGAGACTGCCTGCATTCTTTGACCTTCTTCAAAAACAGCAGAGATTCTCCAAATCTCCCTTTCTGATCTCTGCTTCCATCATCATATCTCCTTTTCTGACTCTGACTCTCCTGCTTCCAGCCCAGCCAATAATCCAAGATAACCCCCTCATCTCAAGATCCTTAATTTGATCACAGCTGCAAAGTACCTTTTACCATGTAAGATTAACACAGCCACAGGTTCTAGAAGAGTAAGACATGAACACCTTTGGGGGAAACCTTATTCTGTATACTACAACTGACAAAGTTAGTATTGGATATTACCTGTGGACAGAGAGCTTCCTAATGCCAAACTCTGGAATTAAATAGGTTTACTAAGTTTGTAACCCTGGATAGGGCATCCTCATTGCCACCCCCATGGCCTATTCCTGGAGAAGTAGACACCACCAGGACAGTTTGTGAAAGCAGCTTTCTTTTAAGAGAAAAAGAACGGGATGGATACACATTCTTTTACATTCACCAATCAGAAAGTTACTACTCCAGGGAGTAGTACGCTGGGGGCAGGTGCAGTGAAAAGTCACAAATAATAGATAGATAGATAGATAGATAGATAGATAAATAGATATCACTCCATATGGAAGGAGAACTTATGAGTGAAGAATAAGTGCTTCCCCAATAAACATATCTATATTTGAACCCATCATCATAGCTCACAAATCTAACTCTCCTCCTAGGTCTGCTACCATTAATAACTTAGATCAGAAACTTGTGGATAACCAGAAGACATTTTTCTTTGCATCTTGCTAAATATTTCCACCATCTACCCCAGAACCCATATTAGATATGTGGCCTACTCATTTATCCGCTCAGTGCTGTCAATTCTACCACCTGAACAGTACTCACATCTCTCTTCCCATTGCCAATGATTTGGTTATGCTCCTATCACTTATCTGGAGTACAGCAATAGCCTCAAAACTAATCTCCCTGCCTCAAGCTTTGCTCTTCCTGTCCACTTTCACTTCCATACCTTTACTCACGAAGCTTCCTTTGCCTAGAATTATGTCCTTTCCGGTTCCTCTCTCCATATTCCCACACTCTGGGCCCCCCCAGTTTGCCCAAGCGTGACTATCCAATAACCTCAGGCAGGATCACACTTGAACCTGACTCCGAAGGCCATGCTCTTAACTGCTCTAGCTTGACTACCTTCTCTTATAACAAAGCTTTACGAACGCCTTTGCTACATTCTTTTAGCCTCACTACTCCCCAGTGTAAACTGGATGGGTAGTTATCCCTATTTAAGAGTGAGGACACTGAGAGTTGGGGGAATTCAAGGCTCGGCCCATCACCCCCTGCTCCCGAGTTAACGAGTGTCTCTCAGCAGTCTTCCATATTAAGCGTGCACTCAGCCCCTTTTGGCTTTACTCCTTGGAGAACCTTCCCGCGCTTCGCAGAAGTAGCCTAGGGGGTCCGCGGCAGTCTGGACAAGGCCACTGCTCCCTCCACCACAGGCGCCCTGCAAACTCGCTGCCGGCGATCAGGCTGGGGACCTTCCCATTCGCAGTGACGAGATCGGTGACGCCATATAGTGACGTATGGTGACGTAACTTATCCGGAGCCAGGTGCCGGCAGGGCAACCACACCCTGGGACCTCCTGCTCCGAAGAGCGGCGAGTCGGGCGGGTGAGGAAAAGCAGCAAAACCCGCCTGAGGCGACTTCGGGGCCCTAAACACTCGGATGCCGACCGTCCGTCGCCGATCAGTTGCTAAGTGACGCCAGCGCGCCGAAGCGCGTGCGCGGCCACGGCGGTGTGCGTGAGAGCGGACGCGCGCCGCGGCGGCGGCGTCGGCGGCGGGGACGGCGAGGACGGCGGCGACGGCAGCTGCCCAGGGGGCGGGGGCTACGAGGAGGTTGTGGAGCAGGCGGAAGAGGCCTCTGAACCAGAGGCTTGGTCGCAGAACTTGGTCGGGGTGAGTAGCCGGGGCCTCGCAGGGGAGGTAGGGCCTGGTCGCACCTGCTGCGCGGGCCCGGGGCGCGGGGACGTGCGCCCTCGCCGCACCCGCGCGCGCCACCCCACGCCCCTCCGCTGACGGGGGCTGACGAGGGTCAGTTTCTGGACGCGGACGCTCGGGGAAGCGACAGCGAGGGGCCGGCGAAGACTAGTTCTGAAAGGTGTAGTGAGAAGTAGGTGTCTGGGGGCCTCGAGGTGGCTCTGTCTGGCTCCCAAAAGAGTCGAATTTGGAGAAGCCCGGGTTCCCATAGCAGCCTCTCATCCTGCCTGAGACGAGGTTGCTGAGACCGAGGGGAGGCGGAACCTGGCACGCCCGGGTTGGGGTTCGGAAAGTTTGGCACTGCTGGGGCCTTTAGCGCCCCTGCCCTGGCGGGGCTGGGAGGAGGAGCCGGTTGTTAGGTAGAGAATTGTGAATCAGTGCCTGCGTGCGGTGTCGGACACACCCACGACCGGGGGAAGGCGAGCTGTCAGAAGAGATAGGGGGCTGCCAGCCTGTTGCCTAGAGTTTCCAACTTCACATGTATGTGCACGTGCTTAATGCACACCCACAACTTTGTCTGCTCTGGGCATTTTGTCACTCTGTTGCTACAGATTTTGAGGCCAAGGGGCGGATGTCTTGTCTTCAATCCTTCCTCATAGACCTAAATCAGATGTTTTATTTCCCAGAGTGGAGGCACTATTTTTTGTTTTCCTTAAACATAGAACAGGCTTGCTTTTTACTAGGTAGAAAATACAGATTCTGTTTAACTTGTGGGCGCGAGAGTGTTGATGGTCGGACTGGCCTGAGTGTAAAGGTGCAGCAGATCATCAGTCTGGTGCTCTCCTCAGTGCGCTGGGCTTCTCGTGAATGGGTACATGTGTACTGGTTGTAGTTACCATCCTTGGGAAAAAGAATTGGAGGTAGAGAAATCAGTCTCTTCTGACAGTTGATTAAGGAAATGTCTAGTACCTGTAGAAAGATAAACTATACTGAAATTTAATTATGATTTGTGCAAGAAAGTTACTTCTGAATTTTCATTCAGCTCTAAAATTCTGGATTCCGTTTCATAATCGAGGATCTGTAAAGTATGTTGCCTGAAGTTCTTACATCTTGGAACCAGTAAAAAAACACCTTGCTCTGTAACATTTAGAGTACTTCGAAATTCAGTGCTTCTTGCTTTCTGGAGTATAATAGCTTTTTAGGACAGGAATCGTGTGTTTTCATCATGGTTGTATCTTCAGTACCTACAGAAGTGCTTACCACAGAGTAGGCAAGCAACAGATATTTGTTATATATCACACTGTATAAGTAAGTGGTGTATAGCAAACATATAGGTCAGTCTTTCAAGTAGTTAAGACATGTGCCTCTCTGCCCATGTGGGAGGAGGATTGTGGGTTTTCAAATGACATAGAAAACCTGGCTTTTTCTCCTTTAAGAGCAAACAGCTTGGCTAGGAAAATAAAGCATATGTATAAAAATAATTATGGGATAGTATATAAACAAGTGTTATGTGAGATAGTATACTTTTTTTAATCCTCACCTGAGGACATTTTTGCATGTATCTTCAGATAGAGTGGGGGGGAGGGGGAAAAGAGAGAGAGAGAAACATCAATGTGAGAGAGACACATCGAGTGGTTGCCACCCACACAGCCTCAACCAGGGCCGGGGACAAACTGCAACCGAGGTATGTGCCCTTAGCAGGAACCGAACCTGGGACTCTCTGGTCCACAGGCCGATGCTCTAACCGCTAAGCCAAACTGGCCAGGGTGATACTATACTTTTTTTTTTTTTTTTTAATTTTTTTAATCCTTACCCGAGGATGCTTTTCTATTTATCTTCAGATAGAGTGGGAGGATGGGAGGGAGAGAGAGAGAGAGAGAGAAACTTCAGTGTGAGAGAGACACATCGACTGGTTGCCTCCTGCATGACCCCGACCATGGTCTGTGATAAAGTGAAACTGAGGTATGTGCCCTTGACCAGAATTGAACCTTTGACTCATTGGTCCACGGGCTGATGCTCTAACTGTTGAACCAAACTGGCCAGGGCAAGATGCAGTACTTTAAGTGCAGTAGAAATTTAGAAGAGATGAAAGTGTGGTGGGCTGAGTTAGTTGCAAGAGGTAAGGTTTGAGCTGGTATTTGAAAGAAATGTAAAATGTGAATTAGAGAAGAAAGAAGTCAGATGTTGAGAAAATAGTGTGACTTTGGTTGTTGGGGAATATAGTGAGGAAACACTTGTCGGATGAGTGGAGCAGAAGGTCTCTGATAGGAGAATGTTGGAGAGAGAAGGTTTAGCAGGTTGGGAAGGGAAAGTGTGAAGGCTCAGGCTGGCTTTATTAGTATCCCGCTGATAACAAGGTAGAGTCCACTTGCTGGGTGGGATGGGGTTGTGCTACCCAAGCAGAGTCTTACATAGTGAAAGGACATTATAGTCGACAGCATCAAGTTGTTATATACTTCTAATTTCCATTATCTACTTGAATAAATGCCTCACTAATGTGTGTGTATCTTGTGTGTTAGCAGTGCATGTCCCCATTTCTAAAATCTATCTGTGCTTAGGCCATTCTCTTGGAAATTTACTGAAATGATGTACCCAAAGCAATTATCCAGCCACTTTCACTTTCAGTGACACAGTTTTGCTTGGGATGATCTCTTATAGTTGCCTGTGAGGTTTTCAGTTACTGCTGATCCTATAAACAACAACAACAACAACAAAACAAACAAAAAACAATGTTAGCTGGGGAATCAACCAATGAATGCATGGATGGGTGGAACAACATACTGATGTTTCTCTCTTTCTCCCCCCCATCAGTAAATACAAATTTAAAAAAATATGTTGACAAAAAGATTTGAGCAAATTAAAGATGCTGCTGCTAAATACTGAATTTTGGTCTTTACAATATCTTTTGTTGTGGTTATGTGAGAATTTTTTTAAATGGTGTGTAAACCTGAAATTGAATTGTTAACCTATGATGTATAAAGTTGCAACAGTAAATGTTGCATTATTTAACAATTCAGCAAATATTTATTGGGTACTGGCTGTAACTAAGCACTGTGTTGGGTGCTAGGAAGGCAAAGAATAAGACACAGTATACCCCTGAGATACTAAGCATTGTGTGAGGAGACAAACCACTAACTATGTTATATTATGATATGAGTTCATCACTTTTGGCCTGGCTGGTGTGGTTCAAGAGAGAAGTCCTGGTTCGATTTCCGGTCAGGGTACATGCCCAGGGTGCGGGCTTGATCCCTGGTAGGAACTGTGCAGGAGGCAGCTGATCGATGTTTTTCACATTGATGTTTCTCTCTCTCTCTCTCAAAATATCAATAAAACATGTTTTATATTAATTTATTTTTGTTACAAATGTTTCTCCTTTTTCCCCATTGACGCCCACATCCCAATCCCCCCCCACCCCAGTATTATTATCTATGTCCATTGGTTACATGCATATAAGTTCTTTGGTTTGTCTCTTCCCTCCCCCCTCGCCCTCCCTCTTCTGAGGTTTGTCAGTCTATATCCTACTACTATGTCTCTGGGTCTGTTTTGTTCATCAGCTTATTTTGTTCATTATATTCCACAAATAAGTGAGATTGTGTGATATTTGTCTTTCTCTGTTGGCTTATTTTGCTTAGCATAATACTCTCCAGATACCTTCATGTTGTCTCAAAGGATAAGAGATCTTTCTTTCTTACAGCTGCATAGTATTTCATTGTGTATATGTACCACACCTTTTTGCCACCCTTTATTGATTTTAGAGAGAGGAAGGAAGAGGCAGAGAGAGATAGAAACATTGATGAGAAAGAACATCGATTGGCCACCTCCTGCATGCCCCCTGCTGGGGATCGGACCCACAACCCGGGCATGTGCCCTGACCAGGAATCAAACTGGCAACCTCTTGGTGCATGGCTCGTCCCTCAACCACTGAGCCACACCAGCGGGGCTACCACAGCTTTTTATCCACTCATCTATTGATGAACACTTGGGCTGTTTTCAGATCTCAGCAATTGTAAATAGTGCTGCTATGAACATAGATGTACATATATTCCTTCTGATTGGTGTTTCAGGCTTCTTCTTCTTTTTTTTTTTTTTGGTACGTTCCCCTAGCCGCTAGGGCCTAGTGGCAACTGAACCCGGGACTCTATGGACCGCAGGCTGATGCTCCAACTGCTGAGCCAAACCAGCCAGGGCTGTTTCAGACTTCTTAGGATATATTTCTATAAGTGGGTTCACTGGGTCAAATGGCAGTTTCATTTTTAATTTTTTGAGGAAACGCCATATTGTTTTTCATAGTGGCTGCACCAGTCTGTATTCCTATCAGCAGTGCACTAGAGTCCCTTTTTCTCCACACTCTTGCCAGCACTTATTGTTTGATAATTTGTTGATGGCAGCCATTCTGGCAGGTGTGAAGTGATACCTCATAGTCGTTTTAATTTGCTTCTCTCTGATGATTAGTGACATTGAGCATTTTTTCATGTCTCTTGGCCATTTGTATATCCTGTTTGGAGAGGTGTCTATTTAGCTCCTCTGCCCATTTTTTAATTGTTTTTTTTTTTTTGTCTTCCTTTTGTTGAGTTGTATGAGTACTCTATATATTTTGGAAATTAATCCCTTATCTAATGTATTGTTGGCAACTATGCTCTCCCATATAGTGGGTTCCTTTTCCATTTTGATGGTTGTTTCTTTTGCTGTGCAGAAGCTTTTTAGTTTGATGTAGTCCCATGCATTAATTTTTTTCTTTGTTTCTCTTGCCTTATGCGTTGTATCATTGAAAACTCTGCTACACGTGATGTCTAAAATTTTGTTGCCTACATTTTCTTCGAGGATTGTTATGGATTCACGAGTCATATTTAAGTCTTTTATCCATTTTGAGTTTATTCGTGTGTATAGTGTAAGCTGGTTGTCTAGCTTCATTTTTTTACATGTAGCTGTCCAATTTTCCCAACACCATTTATTAAAGAGACTGTCTTGACTCCACTGTA